TCTTGTATTGGATCAAATGGAAGAAAGCTAGAAAATAATTATTCGACAGAATTTAAGATGAATTTACACGAACGGAAACAGTATTCATTTGAAATTGGAAGGAAATAAAGGTAAGTAATTTTTTCATAAACTGAGGGGAATTCAACAATAAATTAGACAACAAAATTATATTTTCTACTCTATCGATAATCCCCCATCATACACCGCACCGGACACTGTATATCGACTATTCGCGACTTAAGTCACTTTATAATTTTATCTCAAGGGAGAAAGTGTATCTTTGTACCTTACATAGTTTCCAGAATCAGATCACTTAGTTGGTAAAACAAAGTTTTAATTTAAAACATACAACTGATACCAAGTCAATACAGGAATAATTGTAAGCCAACTTAACAATAAAAATATCAACTATCTTATACTATAATTCACGATTGAAGAGCTAGAATATAATTTGTTAAAAAATAAAGAATGAATACATATTTCCTCTTGATTTCAATCAATACAATATATATTTAGTCAAACCACAACCAATTACAACGTTTTTCAATTAATTTTCTCGAAAGGATTGTAAAGAGATTTTCTAAATTAAATCGGAAACACTGCGTCAATTTACAACATTTCAATTTTCAAAAAGATTGAGATTGAGGTAGATGTGATGCTTTCTGATATGTTTTAAAAATAGTGTATAAAAACGACTAGTCATGTAATGAAAGTGTTTACCTTTTAATAATTTAATGTAAGTCGTGCCAAAAAATAAAAATACAAGTTTACCTAGACAGACGTAATGAGTATACTATATATATACAATAGAATTATTATCAACTTCGTTCACTGAAGACTTAATTAAGTCTATTTATAGTACAGACTGCAATAAACATAACTGATTAGATACATAGATACCTTACTAAAACCTGAATATCGATTAAATTTACCTTCTATATAATGCATATTAACATTATGAAAATAATGATTTCAGACTAAAGAATGTTTTTGATATTGTTATTTCTGTAATTTTATTTCAGACTGAAGAATGTAGTAATATTGTTATTTCTATAATTTT